GATTGTTGGACACCATCTTTTCGGAATTTATCCATGTTGCCCTTGTCACTGATACCCTTACTCGGACCATCCTCCATTTTTAACAGATCAGCAAGGTGCATCATTGGTTCTTCAGCCACATTGCAAGCTTCACAGGGGGATTTGACCATCTCAAATTTTCGCGGATTGCGCTGATTTTTACAATGGCTGTATATACTGATGATGATCTAATGATTACTGTTGGTGGTTTCACTTAAAAAAACACAAAAACAGCCATAGAAATGGTACAGTATGATCCCAAATGACCAGTAAGATCCAGTAAGATTAATACACGCCATCAGCTTGGATATGGGTCAATATTCAAGGCACCTAGACCTAAGCCGCAAAAAATATGTGACCCTTGGGATGGACATGTGGCGTTAATCTTTCGGGGCTGGATGAGTTGGCTAAAAACCCGGTTGATTCACCAAGAATTGGGATGAAAATATTGGGAGAACTTTAGAGATTTTCAGACGCAGCCACATGTTCATGGTAGACCTATCCTAAAGTTGGATGGGTGAACATCAACCAACTTGATGGGCTCTGCACACTAGCGGTTGTGGAGAAAAAGCTATTGGGCGTTACAAAAACGGAGGCCCAGCATATATGGGAAATCCCTTATAAATGGGGGTTTTAACGGGACAATCATCTATAAATGAGGGATTGTCCATTGCCAGGTTTGATTAGCGGAGGGTATTTCGTATCGTCTTGGAATCCAACATCCAAATGGACAACCAATCGTCCCTTCTTCAATACCAGCAACGCAGCACTTCTTCAGTGGTCAGTGGATTCCACTATCATCTCCAAAGACAACCAGTCGGTTTTGGAACCAACTGTACCATAAAAACGGCTTAGCCGGTTTAGCCTCCAACCCAAAATGCACCAAAACCTGCCCTGTTGGTTGTTGGTCATTAAACCGCAATGCAGTTTACCATGTTGGTTGATGGTTGCAGGTGCAATGGAACTCCCATCGTAGGACTCCCATCAACTGCTAGTAGCCGTTTTTGTTGTCACAAGAGCTATGTGAACTATCTGTTTCTACACGATCAGGGAGAAGTTATTGATGGTTTACATTTGTGGTGTTTTTCCCACTTGCTAGGGGAGGAACTCTAGATTTATCAGAGTTGCTTTCTCCTTCGCCTCCGGCAGCCTCGGATCTCAACCGCGAGCTCCAGATGTCAGTGGGCACTGATGGACCTCGACCGCAAGCACCAGATCTCAGTGGGCACTGCTGGACCTTGACTGCGAGCACCAGATCTCAGTGGGCACTGCCGGACCTCATGCGCGAGCTCCAGATCTCAGTGGGCACTGCCGGGCCCCAGCCAGAAGCCAGAGAGAACGCCAGATAGAGAGAACGTCAGAATAGATGCCAGAAAGAATGCCAGAATGAATGCCTGATAAGATGTCAGACTAGATGCCAGATAGAATGCCAGAAGGAATGCCAGAAGGAATGTCAGAATATATGCCAGACAGTATGTCGGAATAGATGCCAGATAGAATGTCAGATATGATAGAATGTCAAAGTATATGCCAGATAGAATGCCAGAAAGAATGTCAGAACACATGCCAGAAAGTATGTCAGAATAGATGCCAGATAGAAAGTCAAATAGAATGTCAAAGTATATGCCAGAAAGAACGTCAGATAGAATGCCAGAATAAATATGCCATAATATATATATATATATTTCCAGATGGTATGTCAGAAACTGTTTCAGGGTGGGGATCACGCGAAGAAAGGAATCAATTACTTGGTTGTGGTGACAATTTTCCCATTATTTTTACATTAAACCCATTAAATCCCATGATTTTCTGAGGACCCAGTTCTGACCCCCCAACTTTAGTTTGCAGGCGCCCAAGAGCACTGCAAACGGAGCGTCGGGGCTACCTGGTGTCGGCAAAGTCGACTTCCGGCTGTGCAGGTTACTAGTAGTTAAATAATTTCACCCATGAACATGGTAAGTTTCTGGGTTTTCAACCGTTTATTTTTGAATATTTTTGAGGTGTCTCACCAGTGACATTTGACATGCAACCACACGTTTTGGAAGATGCTCTGTACTTTTAAGAAGGGCAGGTGCTCCAGATACATTCGGAGAAATCTGCCATGATCCAAAGGTGGCGAAAGGATTTGCAACTGGCATACGCCCCTTGCACGTGGAGTATTACGTTTCTTTAGTGTATACAGACACGCGTACATCAGTTTGGCCCATACCTGCATGTTTTGATTGTGAGTTTATTGATTGTTGGGTTCCACGTGGCGCTTCGTTGACCAGGATGATTATAGCCATTCGACATAAACAAAACAATGTATTGAAGTCCAAAACGTAAGCATCCTATATATCTATACATCCCAAATTTAGTTGATAAACAGGACCCTACATTTTGTTGATACTGAGACTGGTTCACAAATCCGACGTTTTTTGCATGATAAACATCTTGAAATCCCAAATACTGTTGAGAATCATCGTTCGGTCGCCAACTTTTTTGAATAACAAGTACAATGAAAAACATAGGCCAAGATAAATTCAAAATTTCGTTGGTTAAACGATAATCATGTAAAACATCGGAAAAACTGATGATCAAAGTTCTGGGTTTAATCAACATTTGCATTTCAAATCAATCTATTACCCTCCAGCAATTTCACACAGATAACCCCACCATGAATGTAGATCATTTCCTCTTGGAAAACCCACTGATTTCCATATTGTTTTCTCAGTTTCCCAAAGGGTACCCTCCCTCCAACAAAACATGATCCTGCCCAGGGTCGTTGGTTGGTTGGTTGGTTGGCTGGTTGGTTGGTTGGTTGGTTGGCTGGTTAGCAGAGAGTCCTTTCCGACATTGGGATGGGCGATTCTCAGGGTGGAACTGTAAGTTGGATGGTACAATCCCCCAGAATTCGCATGGACCCTGCCAAATAGGATGCTGGAAGACTACTTTCCTCTAAAATCAACCGTTCTCAAGGTTCCCTCCTGTAAACTAACATAGCTGTGGAAACCCATCATGTGTAGACTATTCCCCACCTGCCAGGTGAGGGCCCTACCCTCCGCCTCCTTGTGCCTCGGGCTCCGCCCTCAACCGCGAGCGCCAGATCTCAGTGGGCATTGCCGGACCTCAACTGCGAGCTCCACTGCTGGAACTCAGCCAGACGCCAGAGAGAATGTCAGATAGAATGCCAGAAAAAATGTCAGAATAGATGCCAGATAGAGAGAACGTCGGGATAGATGCTAGAAAAACTTTTAAAAAATGCCAGAATGAATGCCTGAAAAGATGTCAGACTAGATGCCGGATAGAATGCCAGAAAGAGTGTCAGAATATATGCCAGAAAGTATGTCAGAATAGATGCCAGAGAGCATGTCAGATAGAATGTCAAAGTATATGCCAGAAAGAATGCCACATGGAATCCCAGAATAAATAGACCACATATACTTCCAGATGGTATGTCAGAAACAATAGTGTTTCAGGGTGGGGATCACTCGAAAAAGGTAATTTTCCTGGATTTCCACCATGGTTTTTCTACATTTTTCGTATGTTTACCCTAGGGCCCTAAGGTAACTTGGGGGATGGTGAAGTCAACTGCAGGGAAACTCACTGCTATGCCATGACCGACGAAGAAGATCATGCGGACGACAAGGCGGGGACATGCTTTGATTCAAATTTGATTTGCAGTTTACTCGCTGGAAATCAACCGTTTACTCCCTTACAAATGGATATAATTGGAGATTAAAAAAATAATTTTTAGATGGTGTATTATCCATTGCCAAATTTGATTACCAGAGGGCAATGAATAGAACACGTGTGGCTTTAAGGCCATAACAACGATGATTTCGCACCTCAACTAAATGATTTTCACATCTTATTCTCCCAAATTTTCCTACATGTTATGCGGTAAAACTACCCATGACCCTCTGGGAATCCAAACTAGCAATGAAAACACTGGCTGGAAATCTCTAGGGCGACATGGTAGGCATTTTGTGTTGCTATGTTTGATACCAGCGGGTTGAACTTATCAATGTTCCATTGCGAATTTTCATCCCTTGCAGATTTCTTGTGAAACCCACTGAAGGGGCTTTCCATGGGTTGGGTTGGTCGATAGGTTGAGGGGATGGGGTAAACTATATAGATATGGAAAACCCAGGAGGATGCCCAATGATCTATCAATGGTGGATTTTCCGTATCTACGTTTGACTGTTGGGTGCCCAAATTGCATTACCCTGCTATGTTTTTTTCTTGTTGCAGAACTGTAAATCCGCACTTTCGATTGTTCGATCATTAATTCTATTGGATACATCCCACAACCATCACCCAATCAAACTCCAGTCTTTCCAGTTGATACTGTATATTTTATGGCGTTGACGCCTCCTTTCCCTTTTTAATTTTTTGGCTTATATTCCAATGTTGTTTAATTAAATCAACATTTTTACATACCTAGATCTTCCTCAGGCATTATTTTCAGCCCGAATGAGTTTAGGCTGTTTTTTCAGCCCGAATGCGATAAATCCGCCTTTGGACAAAAAATCCGCCCGAATGGTTTTTCAGGGTTTTACTGTAAAGTTGGCTCAAACTTAGTAACGTTGTGCATTTTCAGAAGTATTGTTCCCAGTAAAAAGGTTCTATGAAATCATGAAATACCAATGATTACCAAAACAATGTACGACAAAACCACAAATAGAGAGATTCAATTTCCAGAACCAATGATGGATGATTTTGGACTAGTTGGTACCAATAGTAGTTAACCCCACTACCAGTGACAACCCCATCAGCAGCGGAAACAACGCCTTTTGCTGATCCTGATGATCCTTTGAGTTCGCCATTGACAAGGAGTGGCCACCGGGGCAGCAGGGAAGACATGAGCACCAAGGTTTCAACTCCAGGTGCTATAAAAGTCATCACAAATTTGGGATCACAAATTTGGTGTTTTCCCGATTTTCCTTTTTACCTGTAATCGTTTCCTGCGCCTCAGCAACGAAACAACTTTTAGGAAGTACCTCTCGTAAACGCGCTTGTCACACAACCTGATGTTGACTTTCCTGCTTAACCTGCTAATGCGCCCAACAAAATCTTCATTTGGCTCGCAAGCATACATCTGCGGATTGCAAATCAGCGTGTTTCCTCGTACCAGCTGCGACTTTAAAAACACTCCAATGTGGTGAAGTGCGTGAAATTTCGGCTTTAGCCGAAATGCTTGAACCTTCAATGCAATCGCATCCCGCGCGCAAACAGCATAAGCTCTAAGCGTCGTCATGATGTGTGCATAAAGTTGACGAGCGCAATCCCTCTCCAACCACAACTTGTGGGAGTGAATCATTTTCAGTGACAAACTCGCCTGACATAGTTGTAGCATCCGTTTCAACAAACCAGAGTGACCTTCAACAGCTGGACTCTGCAAATTCAATTTCAATGTAAAAATCAACCATTCCAGTAACAGCATGGAATCGGACCCCTTGGAATTTGCCCAGGGTGAGGAAATCAGCGTTTTCAGATTGAAAAAAGATTTCGTAAAAGACCGTAAGCCTGGGCTTTTGCCCTGACTTCGGGCCCACATCACAAAATAGCTGTGAGCTCGCTGGAGCCGGTCCACAATGTTTGTTGTAGAACCTGGATAGTCCAAAAATGGTAGTCGCAGCAATAGGATGAGAACACCCCCTATCACGTCTCTTGCAACCCCCACCTTGTGGATATGGAAGATATCGCCCTGCAGGATTTGTTCCGGGCAATCTGGGTCGTATGGGATTGCTGCCATCGGGGGCGGTTGATCAGATGGCCATGGTCTTTGTAAGTACATACTTTGAACCCACATGGGGTCCTCAGAAAAATCTTCAAAGCTAAAGCCAGGGCCACCCGCCAAACAATGGTGGCAGATCTCAGTCACGCCAGCCGTGTCAAGGTTGTGGTAGCTGCGGTCCAACCGCATCAGAGACTTGTGAAACGCCATGTCGCCTTTGATTGCAATCACAGCCCCAAAAAATACTTTGCCAGATGTTGTTTCCACACCCGTGTGGAAAAGGTCCCGGAGGTCATTCGTAATTTCAGTCAGTAAGACATTCACAATCTCAGGACGTTTTTTGTAGATCCAGCCACCCACACCAAAGAGAATCCAACGAGAAAGGTAGGAGTGGCCCTTGTAGTTTGTCAGTTGCCCCCTGGCAATCTCAATGGTCTTTTGGTCCAGCATGCCTCCATCACATCCATATTGTGGTATGTTGGGACGGTTGGCCAGGTCTTTGGCACATGAACAGCGGATGTTGGGATCATGCACTGTACCCAATGGAGATTCTACCGACATAAGCAGGTAATTGGTGCGTTTGATTGCTCGGCCCTCATCTCCATGGATGAGTAAGGGTACCACTCGGTCTAAGTGGTCCATATGGTTCCGAAAAACAACATGTCCTGGATGTTGAACTTGATAGGCTTTCCAGAATGCTTCAAAGTTGGAACCCGGGTCCCCACCACCACATCCTCCAAGTATTTCTGGGCTTTCACTCATCCAATGCCGTATCCATGACGATGGCTTGATGTGATAAGTAGTGATTGTTTGGATTTCCCCAGCTTCTGAACAATGTTCCACAGGATGTATGTCAATTGGCAAGGAATATCCCAATGATTTCAACTGTGAATGCATGTTCCGGGATGCATTTTTGCCGGCTTCATCCACCGACTGACCAGCCAGGACCCTGAGAGATCTCTCTGCGCTCTCAGCCGTGGCCTGAGCATGGCCGCGATCGAGGGCATATGGATGGGTGGGTCATGGGTCATGATGAGTAAATGCCCTCACAACATGTGGATGAGGGCCCGGCACCATCCCCCATAGTATCAGCGACATGAGCCGCAAACTCATCCCCAGCAAGTGCTGCTAGGGTAGAGTTGGAACCTGGCATCGGCAGCATACCATCGGTAACCCAGGGGGGCACAATCTCTAGACTGGTGTTGTTCGGGCTTATTCTCTAAGGGTAGTCAGGCATGTTTCTTTTCCACACATGTCCAACGCAACTCTGGGTTGGGCACATTGGTCAGCCATGCTTTCCCAGCTGACATGCAAAGTGGATCAAATTTGCAAATTGGTAATCCAACTCTTCAACTATTGAACAGATCTATCCGAGATCTTCCAAAATGCAAGCTACCAAACCGCACAGTTTGGCAAGTAAATCAAATCAACAACAAATATATTTATCACATCGGTATCAAAGGTAAAGTTGTACTAAATAGCAACTAGCTACCGGGAATAATCCATAGGTGACTTAAAGATGCTGTGCAAATTACTTTTCATAGGCATCGATCGGTTTGACATAGCTTGCAGCCCTGAAAACCTGAAATCTCTCAGCCCCATCTACAGGATTAGGATTCACCAGTGTTCTCACCGGTCCTTTGCCGTTTTGGCGCTGCCTTGGCCTTTGCCTTCCGCTTAGGCTCACACTTTGCCTTGGGCACCTTGTGCTCCTTTGGTAGCGCCTTAGGCGCCTCTGGAGCTCTGGGCCTGGGCTGGAGGGCAGATACCACTTGCAGAGGGCTGAGGGTTGGTTTCCAAAAGCTTAGTTTCGAACTTGGCAAATGCATAGAGGGCCATGGACTCAGCGAGCCTCAGAGATTCAAAAACCATTGTTGGGTTCATAGCTGAACTGGTTGATATATTCAACAGTAATGCAATGCTGAAGTCATGTTGGCTTTACTTGATGCCCACATGAGGCTCAAACTTCTTCCTGCCACGTTCCAACAGGTCACCAATTTTTTGTTGCAACCTGAGTGGCAGTATGGGGCCATTTGTTTTTTTCAAAAATAATACCAGGTTGGCAATGCCATTAGGTTCGATGTCCATAGAATGTTCATAAATATAGAAGACGATAAACATTGAGGGTAACAAGATGATGGCCCAAGTAACACAAAAACACGTCAATAGCAATTGCAGTTGATAGCCCCCAAAATAATCATTGATGGGTGGATAGGTGCTGGATAGTTCGAAACCTTTTAGTAGACACCACAAAGCCCATCCACTTGTTTTGTAATGACGGGCGCCCCAAAAAATCAATGAATGTTGAATCGTGAATCAGACTCCGCCTCAACTGTTGCCTGATACTGGACTGGATTCAAGCTATTTCTTGTGCATATTTTTTTTTTGTGGTCAAAATCTGGTGAAAAAGGCAAAAGTATGTGATACGAATCCCATATGCAAATCAGAAATTCCAATTTCAAAATGGTACTCTGGTCATCTTAACGGACACCCTGCATGTATTCACGTTTATAATCCAGATCCCATCGAAACCAAACACCCTATGGTTCGTTTGAGGATCACATTCTATCCAGCCCACTTGTAGTTACACCCATGAATCTATAATATTATATAATATCAGCTTTGGGGCGCATAAGTGTAGCCATCGAGGACTCCAAGACCATGTTGATCAATCAATTCTTCATCCACCGCCGAGAGTTCTTTGATCGATGTGGCAAGCCTCTCCGACATCCTTAGCTACAGAAACCCATTCTGCATACAAGGTTTGGTTGTCCCACATTATCCCTCATGACGTTCCATTCAATTATAACTAATTATAACATTCCGGATTGTTATAATGACAGATTGCTACAATTACAATCATCCCTTTTCCTGTGGATACCCAATCTGGCCACGGCATAGACTTCATGCGATAAAGCCCCTCAAAGTTTGTTGACATTGAAACATTTGAAACCACATCCCAAAATATAAAATACACTAAACACAAGACTTGCATCCGGGATTGCAACAACGAAAGTTTCTTCTCAGTACCAGTGAATGTGGCCGCCAAAGCCTCAAGCTTGGTGACCTGTTTCTGAATTGATAAACAAGCCTTGGGGGCAATGGCGGAAGGGGCTAGGTCTCCCTCCTGTTCTGGGTAGTTCATCTTACTGAGCTCCTTCTTGACATCATCCGACTCAACTGTGATCGGCTGCAGGTCCTGGTCCTTCACATCCTGCTGCGCAAAACCTGGCTGTTGGATGGAGAGGAGTCATGGGCGTGGTATTGGAAACGGGATGAAGGAGAGGTCACAAGTTGGAACATTTGGAGGTTGGGACAATGTTGTGAATCATTGGCAAAGTAGGTACTGTCATGTGCAGTCACTGATTATAGCAATGGAATGGCCTGGTGGTTTGTCATCACCAAGAAAACCCCAGTCAAGTTCTGGCTCTTCAGCGGGTTCATCATCACAGGCTTCTTCCCACTCTTCAACCTCTTGGGTGATTCGACGTTTGGTTTTCCTTAGTGTCGGTGATGACTTTTTGGGACCCATTAATGCCGAACCTTTGCGCTTGCAACACTTGTAATTATGTGGTTTATGAGATTGGGTCACTATGATACCCACTATGAAATCAACAATGTGGAGTTTAACAATAAATGGTAGGTAGTTGTAAAATGTTTAAATCTCGAAATATCTCAAGGGTTCTATGAGGTTTGAAATTCAAGGCACTTCAGAAGGCCACGGGCATGGACCTCCGTCCAGTAGAGCATGCCTTCGCCGTACTTGCTCATCCTGCAAAAGAATCCCATGAACAAAATGACAAAATCCAATCAATTTTGTTTTATTTCTGGAATTGATTTGAATCTGGGCTGTACAAACGGGGCAGAACCACAGGCCTTCGAAGGTGTGGTCGCTCTTCACAGTAACGGATGATACCCTTTCGCTTGGTCCTTAACAAAGGAGATTCCCAGAATCGTTTTGAAATTTGAAACCATGTTGCTATCGAAATCGGGCTAGCCACAAATGGCCAGAATGGGTTGTGTCCAAAATGAAGCTGAGCCAAAGTGAATTAAGCTGAGTAACTCTGAAAAGCTGAGATTTTCCATATCAGCTACGGACAGCCACTCCCCCTCAACCTCTTGGACCTCTTCAGCGACTCTCTCCGTGATAGCTTTGCATCGTTTGACAAATCTATCCTCCAGGGGCAAGGGTGAATAGAATATGGAATTATGTCATAATTGGAGTTGTGAATACAGAATTATGTCATAATTATATTATAAGGAACCCCAAACTCATGGTTCCCCACATTGATGATGGAATAGATCGATAATGGCGTTTAATAATACTGTACTACCAATCATGATAAACTCACATAATCCGGTTTGGCCAAAACCCATTTGACATAGACAATATGCCACGTCTGGAAATAGATGGAAATAGAATTTATTTAGGGGGAAGCATTATCCTATCAATGATTGCTCAATGAATTCCTGATATCATGTGATCTCCCGCCCGAAAGTCAAATTGATTGTATTTGTATTAACTGCATACTTTCCCTTAGTGAAAACCATAGCACATGCATCACTGCGATTGACAATTCAAAACCCTCCAAACAGGTTTGGAACATATTAGGAGTTCATGAATGGAAAGACTTGGCACCAACATTTTTGTCAAACCCTGTCCGGTGAGTACCCAACTTTCTCAAACATAGCCATGATCTCATCTCTACCACCACCATAGGTATCGTTCCAAGCTTCTAACCAACGTTCATCAACCATCCTAGTACCACCTTTCCTTGGGGCAAACACCCTCCGCAAGCGATTCTTAATGGCGTGTGGGGTCAACTCCGCTGGTGGAACTGAATGGGTAGCGAACTCTGCCAAGTCCGGCCCCTTCCCGCGAGTAGCCGACATGATTTCATTGTCACCAGCCTTGGTATTTTTGGAATCACCTTCTAGCAGGGCAGTAGCAGCAAGTGGCTCCGGTTGATGGGTGTTGTGACTCCTTTCACTGGGTTTTGGGTTCGTCTCAGCAACCCCTGGTTCTGGTACTGCATCCATTGGAACTGGTTTGACTTCTTCTGGTACTGCATCCATGGTAAAACCAACAGGGGCATGTGGGCTATTGATTTCTGCTGGGATGGTGTCCTGCTCACTTAGCCCATCCGCTGCCTCACCCTCTGCAGTGACCTCTGCTGTCGCAGGAACAGTGCCCTGCGAGGGTTCGACTGCCATCGCGGCAGGAGCCGGCGCACCTGGCAACGGAGGGATTGGTGAATCCAGGGCTTTTCTTGGAACTTGGAATCCCATGTTGCGTCGATGATAAATACTGTCAATGATCAATAAAACCATTGTCGCTGTGATCGATTTATCGGCTAATTGGGTACAAAGGGATGGCTCCATCGATAATTGACTACCATATGATTTGGCAATCCATGATGATGCAGTTCTATTTTTTGTATGTGGTCTTAGTTACTTCGAAATAGTCTTGTCACTGAGAATGGCCGGCAGAATTCCAACAGAAATTGTCCGACCATGCAAGAAATCACGACCCACCTCGCCTGGAGCTGAACCCTGTTGAGCGAGAAGTTGTTTCTCCAACTCCTGTGAGGAGCTTTAATGGTATACCCCCTAAATGTCCCAAAAGATAATCCATGATAGCCCCCAAAAATTGAACTTAAATGAATTTTGTCCAAGGGATGAGTGAAACATGTATGGATATCGTTAATGTCATTGTTTCATTTTGTCATCTGTTTTGGTGGTAAACCTATAGATGATCCACAATTGATTTGTTTCAACATGTTTCAAAAAGTGAGGCCATGATCGGCTGGGTCTCCTGGAGTCGTTCAAGTTCGGCCACCATTTTGTCCGCTTCAGGATCATTGCTGCACGACATGGTGGTGCTTCGGGTCAGCGCAAGTCCCCTGTCTAAAGTTTCACAGGACCAGGCTCTGCTTAGAAAACTCATCCAGCAACACTAGTCCCGTACACTGTTTGAAGCCAAAAGTTCTCACATATAAACGTTTTTGAAATTATGTTGAATCAAATTTCAGGGCCAAAACAGAAATTGAAGAGTCACTTTCCAAATGTTGTTAAAATGGGTGTCCGGGAGAATCCGCCTGAATACCGGGAGAATCCGCCCGAATGAAATTTCAAAAAATCACCATAAATTGGCATTTACCACATTTAAGGGGTCGGTAGATTCTTGAATTTCAATCCGTTTAGGGTCGCGCAATTTCTTTTTCCATGCCCAGAAACACGGAAATCAATCCCATGTGGAGCTTTGCATTTTTGCAATTTGAACCTCCTTTGAATTTCAACCAGCTGTGCTAGTTGGCCCTCTGAAACAACACTGGGCGGTATGATTGGGGAAGGGCCAAGTTCTTACTCCCCCGGATGTATCGGTACACCGACCACAGTTCGGCGTCATCCCATGGATCACCGGTCTCCATGGAAAGGATGCTGTTGAGGATCGCCTCCTCTGGTTGCACCTGCCAAATCAATTTGAATATGCCTAGTTTTAAGGGATCCGAATCCAAAGGGTACAATGACAAGAAGTTTGCACACCGTTTTAAGAGTAGAAGCCTCTGGAAAGACCGGCTTGTCCTCATGAAACAACTTCTGGTTCTCCAGGAAGGTTCCCACAAAGCGAGGAGTGTACAGTCTCAGTGGGCAGATTTCAGAAGATAAAAGTAGGAGTTCTGGAAACCAGATCGCGTACAAGATATTTTGGGGGGTATAGCATACTCAAACAAAGCAAATAATAAAATGAATCACTGTTGGCTAAGAAGCTGGGTGTTCTTCAAATCTTTCCCTGTTCCCTTGTAGCGGGTTTTTCCCATCTTATCGACATACTTGGCAGCTGTCTTTACCAAAGACTTGTGGGTACCTTTTTTGATGGGGCCCATGTCAAACTTTCCAATGGCCCATGCCGTGCTCCACAACAGAGTCCTCTTCAAACACATGTGCCCAAAGTGTTTCATCCAGAATGCTTTCCGAAAAAAACCTGAGGCCAGCGTGGCTCGGAAGGAAGCTGGACCAATCAGAGAGGACCGGCGGCTGGGGATGCTGTAGTATGTCGGATGAAATTGTTGAGGGAAACAAAATACTTGGACCATGGTGAAGTAAGATTAAACCATATTAAACCCATTTAACCATTCCGACCACTCCAAAAATATTCCGAAGGACTGATGCTTTTGGAGCGAAGTAGGGCTACGAGATGCTGAAAACGAGGGTGCATAGCCAGTAGCGATGAAGCTGGATTCTCAATTATGGGCACACCCCCAGCTGCAATGCAGAGAAGCACAAGCAACATGGACCTCCAGGTTGCTATCCACATCCATCCATGGAAACCACAACAGTGACAGAAGTAAAAGGTAAACCATCTTGTAAGTAAAACTACATGGACTGGTTGAACATGGTTTCATGAACCCCGACCTTGCAGTTCCTTTGTTGGCCCTGTAGTTGGCCAAACTCACAGGGCAACCAGTTGGGAGGAACACAGACCGAAAGCTGGAACCCCTGCTGATCGAGACATAGGTCGAACAACAGATCCCGAACAAAGCCAGGAATTCTCCCCACCTGGCGTTCAAGATCAATACGCAGGCCAACCTGGGCGGCGGATGGACGATCTATGCAATGTATAGTTGGTTGGGTTCGTCCGAGCCTATTTTGGACATATCAAATCATACCAGGTTTCATTAGTGTTGAATGAGAATATCAATCTTGGTACACTGCAGTTACTTTCTTCGATCAAGGAACGTGAAACCTGCATTTGTGTTCAAATCCATGCAGTTGTTGGACCGTTTGTTGTCACCAACCATGTCATAGTCTCTGTCCATGGCCGCACATGACTGGCCGAGCTGTGTTGCCAACCTGGCCAGCCTCCGTTGGCCAGCATAAAACTCAAGTACCTGGAACTCATCCCTTGTCATGTCCACATTGTGGAGGCAGCCAATCAACAAGATGGAGACGATGAATACCTGAGATGAATTGAGGATCAACCTATATATATTTTTATTTAATCCATATTTAAGATCATGATGCCATAGAAGCGGTGAGAGAGTTACAATTAGATCCCAATGGTTGTACTTTGATCTATTTTGGTCATACTTGGCGTTAGTTAATTCTCAACTAGTCCCCAAAAGCTGCGGGTAATGGGTCCGTCAATTTCATGATAACAACTAAGTACCTCAGACCCAAGACAGCTTAGTCACCTTTGGAGCCCCAAGCCAAATCAATCGGCCCAGAATAGTTTTCAACTTTGGCGCCATCCCGGGTTCACCATGGCTATCAGGGATCGGACGGTCGGTTTCCATGACCATCAGGGATCAGATTGTTGTGGTGTATCCCTTGAGAAACCAAAAGCTCTGAGATTTACAGTTGCTGTTGAGGAAATGCCCCCCAATTGATTCACCCAAGTGTTTGATCAAAGGGTTGAGGTGGAGGGTTTGCATGGACTTGGCACATCAAGCCAGCCAGGCCCATGGGAAGGCTCCTCGGTGACGATCCCATGCTTGATGTACCTTCGCATGCATTGTTTGCCCATGTACCTGGAGAGCGGTGGGCAATGGTATTAAAACAAAGGCTCTGTAACGTAATTTTCCGGTATGAGGATTATCAATAAGATTATCTTCCGGAAAATTATGTTACAAAGCCTTGGGATTTCTAGAAGATCTGAGAATGGTCAGATGCTTTTTCGCCCATGGACCCTCGGCTCAGTCCCAGCAGGTGTGTCCTAGCTGCTAGGTTTGGAGATCCGTTTGGACCACTAAATGTAACTGGTTGAGACCCCAGCTTGCTGGCCATTGGTACATCCAAGAGGTTGGGTGGACCATAAACAGTTGCATGTTGATAAGCACTGGTCAAGGGTCGATACTTAAGTTGGGTGTGTGTCACTCTGATTTCTACGTAGGATACTTTCCACAAGGTCCGTCCCAATCCTGGTTTCGCTAGTGTGTCCTGGTTTCCAACGGACATAGGCAAGCAAACCCCCAAAGGTAGAAACATAGTGTTCCGGCATCACTTCATAAAGCCTTAGTTGATTGCAACAGGCTGACCTTCCATTGACTTACTAGGCTCGGGAAAATTTTAAAAGGGGTCCAAAT